TGCTGAGAAAGCTAAATTCTGCAGATTTTTCTGCATAATTGAGCAACTCTAACTCCCTTTTACCAATTCTAATCATTTTGGTGAACTTCTACCACTCATAAATCAACTTTCATGCTAAATTAAACTTACCTAAACAATTCTAATCCTTTCTAACATTATTATAAAGTGTTTATGCATTGATTTAGGTTCTACAACTTCAATTTTATCAACCTAGAGGTCTAAATTCAATTCTACAACTTGGAGTTGGTTTTTAACCATTTAAACATGCCTACTAAGTCACACATGACCTACCTAAGTTACCTAAACTGACTAGGATCACCAAGAATGCCTAACTCTAAATTTGACCACCATACTTCCTTTCTAACTCTAAAATACCATTTTTTTTCCAACTTAGAGATCCAAAACCCGATCTTACCTCTTTTCACTAATTTTAACCAATTTAGTGACTCAAACAAGTCACAATACAGTGGATAAAACTGTCCCAACAGTCCAATAACGCTGCAGACCTCATTTGCTCAAAATCATTATCTCACTTCCTCTAAAATGGCCTAAAATTGACCCTAAAGACACTTGATTTCCTTTCTAACAGCACTACCACAAAATTTTCATGCCAAAACAGTTCCAACATACACAATTTCATCATTATAAGTCATTCCAAACAGTTTATAGCCATCAATCATCAAATTCACATAACACACCCTTCCATACATGCATTTCAAGTTTAACTAGAACCAAGTTCATGCTTCCACAACATACCACTACAAATTTTATCATGCATTCACTACACACAGTAAAATCAAGAGTAGAACTAGCTCCCCTTACCTTGGTGGTTATAAGCACATCACTTTAGAAGAAGTCCAAAACAGTAACTCTCGCACAGAAACAAGTTCAATAGGACCTACAAACCACCAAATTCGGTAGAGTACAACTCTTAGAGCGAGAATGAACAAGGAACCAAAGGGAAAAGCTACCAACTGCATGCAACCAGTAAAGTGGCATGCCCTAGATTCAAAGACAGTGGAGGAGAAGGGGGAAAACGACTTACCAGTAGGAATAAAGAAAACGTTCGGCTCAAAACAGAGCTCCCGACTCTGGGAATGCGGGGACGACACCTAAATGACAATGCAATGGCTGGTGCAGTGTGGAGATTAGAGAGAAGGTAGAGGAGGAAAAAGAAGCTTTCTAGAGAGAGGAACACTTTTTAAGAAAATGAGTTCAGCTTCTTTTTCTAAAAGTTTAGCAGAAACTATAAAACTGTTTTCTTTTTAATAAAAAGCCCCTCCCCTTTTTCTTAGTAATGTTTTCACCCCATCCTATTTTAATATATACATATATATTTTTAGGTTCTTACAATGATAATCTCTAGTAAGTTAGCAATTATAAGTATGTGTGTCTAAACATAAAAGTAATTAGTTGGTGTTGTATAAACGCTGACATAATCACGAACAAAATTTCCTGAGACATGTAGAGTTACTGTCCTTAAGGACTTATCCGCGGTGTATTGCGCAAGTCCCCCAGGATACAACAGGAACTTCTCAGAATATCTCTGAGGATCTCAAAACTAGCAAGGATCTCTAAAAAGAGTATAAAATAAACCTAGAATAATTTTAGAAGTGGAAAAAAAGAAAGGAGAAGGAGAGAAGACTGCTTTTGGTGTGTCTTTGGAATGGAGGAAGAACTCTCTATTTATAGAGCTAGGGAAAAATAGAATCAATAAAAGATAATAAAGCCATTAAATATTTTACCGTTTGAGTACTTAATAAAATGAATTTAAATGTTATTGGCAATTAAAGTTTTGACCGTTGCAATCCAAGAAAAAAGACAAGAAACTTTTATTCTGGGTCTCATAGGATGTATTGCATCAGACCTGGTATAGAAAGCTATATGAACCCGTCATAGATTGAAATACTTAACACACAGTGTAGTTGGTATAGCAAGCTATATGAACCAAAGACACTTGACGTGTGTTAGAGGTTTATCAATCACAATACACCCCCACAATCCTTGCTGTTATCGCTGTGTTGTGCTTACTAGGCCATGCGCGTGCCCGATATTCATGAGTGCTCTAGAGATCATACCAATATCTCATGCAAGCGGTCTCACTCGACACTCATATAGGTGATTTCATCAAGTGTATGCTGCAAATCATACACCACCCATAAGGGATATGAAAATCATTAAAAACTTTGTTTAAGCTAAAATTCTTTCACCACATAGAATTTTAACGACAAAGTTTAACCTCTCAATATTGCAGTCTCTAGCACTTTCACACATACACACACCATAGGAAGGGACATCATTGATATCAATTTAGTGCTATCAGAACTAACAAGTGACTTGTTTTTACCCATATGAACCTTATTCATGGGATCTCCAATCATAAAGGTTGGGTTACCATCACTTGTTTGTTTGCAAGTGGCTTAAGTCTCATTCCCCTCGATGTTTCTAATATCATTTGTCTTCCTAAGGGTTTTGTCAGAGGATCCGGTAGATTCCGTTCTGACTTCACATAGTCAATGAAAATAGTTCCACTCTTTAGCAGTTGTTTTACCAAATTGTGTCTCAATTGGATATGTCTATTCTTTCCATTGTAATTCTTGTTTTTAGCTATAGCTATTGCCGATTGGCAATCACAGTGTATTGACACCGATGAGGTTGGTTTCATTCCTAGTGGAATGTTTGATAAGAAGTTTTTCAACCACTCAGCCTCACTACCAGCCATCTCAAGAGCGACAAACTCAGATTCCATTGTTGATCTTGCAATAATTGTTTGTCTGGCTGATCTCCATGTAATCGCACCACCCCCAAGTGTGAATATATAACCACTAGTAGATTTTGTCTCATCTGAATTAGAGATCTAGTTAGCATCACAATACCCTTCTAGTACAGTGGGAAATCCACTATATTCAATTGCATAATCCACTGAAACTCTTAAGTATCTCATAAGTGCATCCCAATGTTCTTGATTTGGACATTGAGTGTACCTACTTAGACTACCTACTGCATAAGCAATATCAGGTCTAGAAAAGCTCATTAAGTGCAGTAAGCTCATTAAAATATAATAAAAACATTTTTAATACATCAAAACTGATATATTTTAAAGGTACAGAAGAACAATACAAAGAAAAAATGCATTCGTCAATAACCATCTTTAAATTTGATAAATATTTTGAAATATCATACTAGTAGTGATGATGATAATCTCTAGTAAGTTAGCAATTATAAGTATGTGTGTCTAAACATAAAAGTAATTAGTTGGTGTTGTATAAAAGCTTACATAATCACGAACAAAATTTCCTGAGGCGTGTAGAGTCAATGTCCTTAAGGACTTATCCGCGGTGTATTGCGCAAATCCCCCAAGATACAACAGGAACTTCTCAAAATATCTCTAAGGATCTCAAAACTAGCAAGGATATCTAAAAAGAGTATAAAATAAACTTATAATAATTTTAGAAGTGGAAAAGAAGAAAGGAGAAGGAGAAAAGACTGCTCTTTTGGTGTGTTTTGGAATGGAGGAAGAACTCTCTATTTATACAACAGTTAGGGAAGAATAAAATCAATAAAAGACAATAAAAGCCATTAAATATTTTACTATTTGAACAGTTAATAAAATGAATTTAAACAATTAAAGTTTTGATCGTTGTAATCCAACGTTTTCTTTTACAATAATCTAATATTATTACAACAGTTGAATCACCTTGAACAGTGATATCTTTCGAAATTGTTTAACAATAAACATGTTTAAACAAATTCCTCACTACAGGCTACAGCAGGTAAATTAGATGTAAAATGAAACATTAGTTGAAAAAACTATTAAATTAACGAGAATTGATATTTAATTTATTTCACATTCAAAGAAACTTTTGCACGTTGAACAAGGAACAGAAACATACATATATTTGTCAAGCACAACTCAATAACTCGTCAATCACATTTTGTTGTATTACATTTATCCAACAGCATAACAGTCCTCAAAAATACATTTAATTCAATATAGAGAAATTAATAACTTTCCACTAACTACTAAATAGCTGTTAAGATATTTTATTAAATTAAAAGTATTTCATAAATTAATGTTTGAACTAATAATAAGATGGGTGAAAAGGTACGAAAGAGAAATAAAAACAGCTTGCTAGCTAACAATCTCAAGTTCTATCGTTCTTCATCACTGGCTAGCAAATAATACTCATTTGAACAACTTTTGCTTTCTCCCGTTTGAAAAAGAATGAGCAAGAAAATAAGGCGTTACTAAGTTTGAAGTTATCAAATAGACCAAATAAAACATTGGGTATAATTATAATATTAATTTGTGGTTAGATATAAACTCACGAGGCAAACGAAGTTGTGCAACATGGAATTTTTAATTAGGAGCATTATAATGCAAAACGGCTACCAGTTCCATCCAAAAACCGATCAGTGTGCCACCCTTTGTTCTGTAATTCTTTCAAGAATATAGGAAACACACCATTCATTTTATGATAAGCCTCGTGCATGACACTAGCACTGAGCTCATGACGAGAGGAACTCACAACTTGTGCAGCATATGCAGCAACTAGCCACCCTCTCAATGCATCTTCACCACTAGCATCTTGCTCCAATACCATGTCAACGCATTTATTCCCAAAGTTTAAAAGAAACTTCTCCTCATGGAACACTTGTTTCAATTCAAGAAGCCTGGAAGGCCTAATGGCCTTGTGCACAGCCTTCCCCACTTTTACATTTCCCGTATCTTCTTTGAGTTGCAGATTAAACAGCAGATTTTCCC